GACATCCAGAGGCCCCCAGAACACAAGAGACCAAGGAAGACCAACAGAGGGGCAGCCGCGCCACTGTCCCAGAAAGAGCTGAGGAGAGCCCCAGATGAGGGGTCACTCAGCAGCCGCGGAGCAGAAGCCAGGGGGGGTTGCAGTGACGTGCCCGTGAGCTGTGCCAGAGTGACCGAGCCCCAGGCCGAGAGTCCGAGGGCACCCCACCCCCGAAGGGGCCCGAGCGAGCCCCAGGCTCCAGGCCCCGACAAGCAGCCACCAGGAGTGAGCCGGTAGGTACCTGGACGCCCATGCCCGGACACAAAGAACCACCAATGCACCGATGTCTGAGGGCATCTGCCACTGGCAGGGGAATGGTGGGGGGAGATAGCCTCCATACCTTGGAGGGCCTGAGATGTGGTGTCTGATACCCGACCTGACATATAGACACAGACAAACAGGCACACACAGATACAAACATCCATTCCCACCCTCATGCTCTCATATGCAATTACTCAACACTCACCCAACGTGGAGACAGACATAAATAGACACTGTACACACAATCACACTCCCCAAGCGTACTCTAAGCCCCAGGTCTAGGTACCCTTGCCCCTGGAGGGGGAAACTGCACCCAGACCCAGGTAGTGTTACCCTCTTCCCTGGGGTGGAGAGAATGTTTCATGGAGCTCTTATACAAAAGAACCACTGGTGAAAAATATTACTTCATTACTGATGGAACTGGGTGGAATTGGAGTTTTGCCTTTCTTAAGGCTTTCTGTGACAGAGATAAAATCTATGAATGATAATCCCAAAGTCTGCTATACAGCAGCTTTCAAACTGAGGACATAAATTATATAGTGTAATGAACTTCATCATTTTAAACTTAAATCTTAATCTTTATTTCTAGAGTTTTAAAAATGCTCTTAGTACAAGGTGACAACTTCAGAAGACGCTGATTCTATTAACTGGTTATGTAAAAATTACCTTTGACATTTTTCTGAATGGTCGGTTGTGCAAAGACATCTCTGCTTCCATAAAAGATGGTCCAGTGTATCCTATGTATTGGTAAGGTAATAAAGAAAGCACTGAAATGCATTTTTTGGAGAATTTGACCAGCTTTTTTCATGGCTGCCATGTGGATACTTCTGCATCACTTCACACAACCTTACTAATTACTCCGCCTCTCTACCTCGTAGGATCCACACCTATTGTTTCTGGGTTGTTTCAATGAAACACTCAGTGACGTGCACCTCAATTAATAACTTTCATGTAACATGTTTTCAGGATTTTGGGTAGATATTCTGTCTCTCTCCATTAAAATGAAAGTACGGTAAAACTAAGACTGTTCATTTCTTTGTACATGAGCAAACTTACAAATTCAGCAGGCAATCAAAAAATTATTTCCCACACTGTATACCACTTATACATGAACCCTCGACATCACTTGCAGCTTGTCTTACCTCTTTATCACTGGCTGTTAGCTAACTTGTGATACTGCTACATTTTTACATTTTCCATATTTAAAATCAACCAAGAAGTCAAAGCCACTGTTTCAGGTACACAATTAAAAATTCATATCTGTTAACAGTAGCCCAGTTTTAGTGTACTTACTTTATTTTACAAGTCTTTCATTTGCTCACATCATCCAATGATGTGAGTTTCCTTTGAAGTTACAAAAAAAAAAAATAGAGGCTGCAATTGCAAAGCTCCTTCTTCTCTTTGACTTTGCAGTGTGATTTTGTTTCCCTGTGTGTTTTCATGCACATGTGCCGTGTGCTTATGTGTTAGTCTATATGCATGTATACTGTTCTCCACACTAACTGAGTTCCCTCTTGCAAATAAGTGTTTGTGAGTCTGGCACAGAGCATTGTTCACAGCAGTGGTGAAGGACACATCCCCATGGCTTGTATACACCCCCACACTCACAGACACCTACTATAAATAGCCTTCACTTTCAGAAACATTAACAAGACTGTTGGCTAGAAAAAGGTGACACAAAAGCGGAAGAACAATATCGGAGCAAAATGGATAAAATGTTCAGCTGCCAAATTTCAAAACGTGCTATGAGCTGTATCACCTCAAATACTTTAAAGTAGATAATTTTGAACAACTACCATGCATTTTAGTCCATTTTTAATATGTTTGCCAAAATTATACCAAAGATTTCTTCTTCTAGCAGGTGCCTTTACGGGTCACCACAGTGGATCATCTGCTTCTATCTCACCCTATCCAGCATGCTTCTACACTACATCTATGAATCTTCTCACTGGTCTTCCTCTTTTCCACCTGACACTCATCTCCATCTGCCCCACCCTTCCTTTACCCTCTTCTTGACTTTTCTTATGCACTGCCCATTTCTATGGTTGGGTTGGATCTCAGGAGATCAGTATCTCATTTGAAAACCCTTCAGAATACATACTTCAGAATGAATGATACCACTCAAAAGTTACAGCCATGCTTGATTACTGGTATGATTTTAAGACTTAGGCCAGATATGCAGCTGATCCATGAATAGAAAATGTTCAGTTTTGTCTTGTAACTTCAATAAGACAGTTGTGTGATTCTATTATAATTTTCTTGCATTAAATCAAATTCAAATTCAAATTCAAATTTTATTTGTCACATACACAGTCATACACAGTATGATATGCAGTGAAATGCTTACACAACTGCTCGTGACCTAAAGAAAATAAAGACTATGAATAAAATAGGAAATAAATATGAAAATTAAAAAAGGTCAATTTAACTAGGAAGGAATAAAATAAAATATAAAGATTAAAGTTAAAAATGAAATAACTGTACAACAACAAATTAGAATGAAGGGTAAATTTAACTGGGAAAGAATAAGATAAAATATATAAATTAAAGTTGAAAATAAAATAACTGTACAACAAAATACACAATACACAAATACACAGTATAGAAATATATAAGAATGTATGAAGAAATATAAATATATATATACAATAACAGCAGCCGTACAGTATTACGTGGAAATGAAGAAATATAATGTCCAGTGTTGTGCAATCCACATTTGTAAGTGTCTTGTGCAGTGCAAATATGCTTAAAGTGATTTAGTGATGAAGTGATTCAATGACCACGCATCTAATCGAATTAGTGTAAACAAAGTCCAGAATGTCCAGTGTGGACCAGTCCAGTGTCCATTATTAAACCAACGTTTGTGCTTTTTTAGTCAAGAAAGTGCAGCAAGGTTTAACAGCTACAGGCCCTGTCTTAGTCTTCTTCTTATAGTGTTTTCTTATGTTTTGAGTCACTTCTTGTTGATCAGATTTTTTTCTTTCTTTCACAACAAGGAAACTGTGTCTCTATGTGAGGACAAAACTTTTGTAGAAGTTTCTTAGAAATGTTCTTAGAATAGAACTTAAAATGTCTTTATAATCTCTGTTGTTTCAATGAAATGATGCCCTCTCTTTTTTACAGTAGAAAGTTCCTTTGCAACAGTTTTTTATCTGCACTTTTTTATTACTTATACATTAAATTAAAGGTAAATCTGTAGCTTTAAGCTTGTAAGTAATTCTTACATTTGCTTTATTCTTGGAAACAAAGATGTTTAAAAGAAAATTGCAAACTGAGTCTGATGTGCAACTCAGTGTTCTGTTTGATGAATAGATGTAAGTGGTCTCATTGTATTCAAATTTTTTTTAAATATTTAAAAACCTTTTAATTTTAATTTTTAAGTAACCATTTTGGGAGGTTTGAACTGTTGGTTGGACAAATATTTGATTGCCTTCAATCTGGGGAAAGGTGTAAATGATCACTGACACTGGTGGTGTTTTATTTCTTGTCATTCAACTACATTTCTATATTGTACAGGGTGGGCCATTTATATGGATACACCGTAATAAAAGGGGAATGGTTGGTCCTGTTTGTGGCACATTAGTATATGTGAGGGGGCATACTCCTCAAGATGGGTGGTGACCATGGTGGCCATTTAGAAGTCGGCCATCTTGCATACAACTTTTGTTTTTTCAATAGGAAGAGGGCCATGTGACACATGAAACTTATTGGTAATGCCACAAGAAATGCACTAAGAAACTGAGAAACTAAGAAACTAATGTGCACAGGGTCAAAGTTATAAATATAAATATACACCTCTGCGAATATTTGGTTAAATGTGCAAGTTGCACCTCATCAACAAGCTTCTGTCTGCCAGATTTCTGAACACTCTTCTTAGCAGAATTCGTAAAGTTCATTTAAACTGGTTGGTTTCCTGGCATAGTCCACAAATTCGAGGCAGGATTAAGGTCAAAGCTTAGGGAAGACTCTTCCAGAAGCTTAATTTTAGCCTGCTTTAACCATTCCAAAACTAGTTTTTGGTTTTCTGTTTGTGGTTGCTGTTCTGTTGGAACACTCAACACTTAACCATCTAACTACTGATTTGATGTGAAGTTGAAGTATTTTGAGGTAGACCTCCTTCTTCATTATTCCATCCACTTTGTGCACTGGCAGCAAAACAACCTCAGAGAATGATGCTAGGTTTGAAAGCCTCACATTTACTCCTACAAACATACCTCTTATCATTGTGGCCAAATAGTTCTTTATCTCATCTGACCATGTGGGCAGCTGCAAAGTTCAGTTGAGTTTGAAGGTGTTAATTTTGGTCACCCACTCTCAGTACATGTTGATGTAAAACTGGCTTCACTGTGAAAAGTGACGGTGGTGTTCCAGTTTCCAGTTCACGGCAGACTTGCCATGAACTGGATGTTCAGCACTAAGTTATGCCGATGCCACTGTGATTAGCTTCAAGGCCTTTAGAGATTATGTGCCAAACTTCTGGTTTTCTTGCATTAAGATGTTGCGCACAGAATCCGAGATATAATGGTGACTTAGCTGCTTGTTGGATAAACCCATGGATCTTAGAAAAGATTAACATTTCCCGGATGTAAGCACACGTATATAACAAAATGGGAAAAATTACGCTTGCTAACTTTTCCACATCATAGGTTTCAAAGTAAATAAATGTTTTTTCAAATACTCACCATGATCTGAGTCAGTTTAAACCTTTTTAATATGGCTGTACGGCGCTAAACTTTTCGCTTGACAGCTAGCGCAATGCTAAGATTTACACGGAAATGATCCGCGGAAATCATTAAAGTACTATTGGTCCACATTTCTCTTCTATGGTAGCAGCCTGGGCAGAGTAACACCCAACTTTAAACTGATCTGTTGACACCAATGACTGTAGAAAACATTATTGCGACAACACGTTTTTGGGGGAAATAAAAGAGATTGAAACTTTACTGATAATTTGTCCAAGTTGAAAAATGCCCTCCTCCACAAATGTCATTTGACAACCTCATTGCCTTACAGAATTATGACGTCACACACATGTAGAATCTTACCACCATTCCGATCCTTTGATCCTTTGATCCTTAAAACCTATAAATAGGGGTGAAGAGCATCGACTTTTAGTCCGTTTCTCGTAGCATTGATGTGTGCAGCATTGAACCGTTCGCCAGAAAAACCTTTTGAAATATTTGGATCCTTTGCAATAGTAACTGTATCCAGACCCAACATGTCTCAAACAAAAGATCCAAAGGGACAAGAAGTTGACCCCTACGCTCTTCCCTGGGATGAGCCACTAGACCCTTCCCTCTCCTCTCTTCCTTGGTGTGACCAAGTAGAACTAGAGGAAAAACGTATGGAAGAAATGGAGGATGAAGCGCTCACAAACACAGAGAAGATGAAGTTCTTGATGGAGGAAAATGAGAGAAAGAGCGCTCAACTAAAGAAGTTATCATACCAGCTTCAAAAAAAGGAAGCTATTATTGAGGAGAAACAACAGGATCTCCAAGACATGGACAAAAAGAACCAGGAGCTCCAAGGAAAGCTTGATGAAGCCCTGCAACAAAATAAAAAACTTGTCCAAGAAAAGATACAAGATGGCATGAAGAAGAGAGGGCTGCAGAGCAATCTCCGAGACATGGAGCTAATGTACAGTGTTGACAAAAAAAGGCTTGATCACACACTGCAAGCAAATGAAAAGCTTCTTCAAGAGAAAAGGGAACAAAAGATCAAACAAAAACAAATGGATCGCAACCTTCAGAGCATCGAGCAACACAATGAAAGCTTGCAAGGAAAGCTTGATGAAGCCATGCGACGAAATAAAAAACTTGTCCAAGAAAAGATACAAGATGGCATGAAGAAGAGAGGGCTGCACAGCAATCTCAGAGACATGGAGCTCATGTACAGTGTTGACAAAAAAAGGCTTGATCGCACAGAGCAAGCAAATGAGAAGCTTCTCCAAGAGAAAAGGGAACAAGAGATCAAACAAAAACAAATGGATTCGAAGCTTCAGAGCATCAAGCAACAAAATGAAAGCTTGCAAGGAAAGCTTGATGAAGCTCTGCGACAAAATAAAGAAATCCTCCAAGAGAAAGAGCAGCTGGTCATTAAGCAGAGAGAAGAAAAACTTCTTCTCCAGGAGTTTGAGAAGAAAAACCAAAATCTGCAAGAACTTTACAACAAAATGAAGTTCAAAGCATCTGAGCTGGAAGGAGAAAATGAAAAACTGCAAAAACAGGAGGCAACATCTAAAGTGCTGAAAGAAAGGTTGGAAGAAAAACAAGCCGAAATAGAAGAAGTGGAGAAAAAATGCAATAAGCTGGAGAAGCAAAACACAGAAACAATCGAGGAGTTGAAAATCCTCATCCTCGAGAAAAAGGTGCTTGTGGAAGAGCAGCTGAAGAAAAAGAAAAAACGCTTCTGCTTCTTCTGGAGGAAGAACACTCCTTCTTTCACTACTGCCAATGCTTCCCCCACCTCTCTCTTCCCCCCCCTCCCCTTAACTACTAACACCTCTCCCATCTCCCTCCCCTCTTTTCACAATCACCCCCCAACCAGTCCCGACAGTTGACTGCCCCCTCTAGAGCCTGGTTCTGTCATAGGTTTCTTCCTTTAAAGGGAGTTTTTCCTATCCACTGTCGCCTGTGCTTGCTCAGAGGGGATTGTTGGGGTTTTCTCTCCTCTCTCCCTTTACTTTCCATCCCACCCACCCCCACCTTTTCTTTTTTCTTAATAATTGAACAATAAAAACAATTGGCCGCTAATTAAATGTGTCAAATCAATGTCTTTATTCAAGAATACAAGAAATGGGTAATAGCTGCATGTGTGTTTGTGTGTGTGCATAATATGCATACTTTACGTGTTGGATCCAAATCCCACAAGGAATTAAATAAAACAAGAAGACAAACAAAAACAAATATTTCTCTCCCTTCCCAGGTCAGGAATCAGGATGAGGAAGAAATGAGGTCAGATCAGTGCAGGTTTTTGCACTACTGACATAAAGTTTCTGCTGATTAAAAAAAGTATGTCGATATTTCTGAAATACATTTGCAAACAAATAACTTTGGACAACTTGTGTTTTTTCATAGAGAACAGAGACAGCTTAGCTCTACGCAGGTTACAGGAGATCAGATGCCATACTTTTCATGACAGTCTTCGTTATTGCATAAATCTCCCCTTTTATCATTGATCAGTAAATCACTGCATATAAATTCATCTAACCGTTATAATTTCATGAGTAAAGATTCTCAGATGACTGAATTGCGGTTTTAGTAAATGTTGAACTTTATTGTGATTTCTATTTTTAGAATCAATAGCACACATTTTGATTTAGTTTTGCAAGCTCTCACTACAGCTGCCCAAACGTGCCTTTGAGTTTTTCATCATTTAACAAGAATAGGTCAGGCAACATTGTGAATTAGTTTCGGTAGTTAATGTGTTGTCTTGTGTAGTTAGTGTGTAGTGTTGTGGATAGTTTTGTGTTGTGTGTCAGAACAATGAGGCGACTGCTGTCTCCAGGTAGAAACAGGAGTGATACACCTGCTGCTGTCAGACCTGCAGGTATCAGGCTGTGATGTTCTCCTTTATAGTGGACAGAAATTATTTTTTTGATTGTTCTGTAAATAGTTTGAAATGGTTATTTTAAAAAAGGTAAAGGTAAATGGCTGCAAATAACTTTGTTGTTTGCAAAACTTGTGCATTGGATTTTAAAATTGACCATTTATATTTGCATTTAAAGTTATGAAATATGAAATATGATTCAATAAACATGTTTGTGGTTGTTACAGAAATAACTTTTTCTACTTGGATTTTATGTTTTTTGTCTGATTTTAGATGAATTGTGTTAATACAGTATGTCAAAATGAAAACATAACTGCAAATTCAGGCACGTAGGTTGTGCTGAAAAGGATGATACCAAACAAGGCAAAGTAAAGAGTTTTTAAAGGTGAAATGTAGAGGAAACATCAAAAGTAGTGAAAAAAGGCCAATTATAACCTGGACCCCAGAGGGTTAAACACTTCACACAATAGTTACTTTTCAAGTAACTAATTACTTTTAGAATCTTGTAACTCTCCATCTTTCCATCTTGTACGGGTGAGAGTCGGCTGTGGCAAATATTCTTAAATCAGTGCTCGTGCTCTGAGAAAACCCATGGGCTTTATGTGCTAAAATGTCCTGTGATTGAATTTGATACTTCATTTCAAGATCATTTTTCAAATTCATACATTTGGTCGATTGATAAGAAGGGCTTCAGGTTGAACATACCGTAGCTGTACTCTGAACATTTTAAATTAAATTGGAAGTGCTTCAGGAGTGTGCACATTTCAGCTCTGTGAGGGGGAAAATTCTTAAGCTTTAAGCTCTGCGAATACAGAAAGTGATTCAGATTTCTGCTTACTCAGGTTTCCAGGAACTATTCCCTCCTACATTTCAATATATTACCACAGTGTATGTACATATTGCATTTTGCCTTTATTGGATTTCAGCAGTGTGTCAGAGAGAGAGAGAGAAGAAAGTAGGGAGAGAAATAGAGGTAGAAATGTACCTGTTACTAATTTCTTATTGCTCTCACACAGCAGATGTTCTTCAGTAATATAGGTTTTTATCTATATTACAGCACATTGTTATTTAACACTAAAGCACAGACGGACTGGTGACTCTGCAAGACTTTGATTAACAGAAAATTACAGTGTAGACATCAGTAATAATAGTCAGGGTGTTTTGGTTCATCCATTGTTACTTGCTGGGGTCATAAATTATCCCAGTGTGTCTCTTGAGGGTTAAACTCAAAACAGGTGACATTGCAAGCAGAGAAACAAATAAGAAACGTGCTTTTCTCCTCTCTGGCACACATGACAGCATCAGGAGAAAAAACTATATCCCAAAAACTGAAGAATATGTCAGGTGACCAGTCATATGAACCATCATTATAAGTCAAGGCTTCTGCCCTTTATCAGTTTCATCACATACACATTTTGTATGTGTGTATTTGCTCTATCTTCCTTTTTAGCTGTAGATAGTGTCTGTCTTAAAGTAAACTCTTCAATAGATTTAATGGTGTGGATTTGAGGGTTAAAGACAGAGAGTAAGAAAATCCCTCTGGGTCGAGCAAAAACAAAGGTTTCTTTGTGAAGAAGTTCGTCGGTGTTTGATGTGAGCTTCAAAAGTGGTATCAAAGATTACATCAAAGTTTCCAGTGAAAGAAGAAAATTTCCCCATTTCATCTGCAACATCTCATCATGAGCTCACAAATCAAGCTGACACAGAATATTTTCTCTTACCTTCATGTGGCTGCGCTACTATTTCACAAACATGCGTATGCACTTACATGCCCTGCCTTTACATTTTTCTTTGTACTATGAATATCAGGTATTGCATTTCCTTAATGATCTAACAAAGCCCTGTATATTATTTCATTAACCTGCTCACAGACACCCTGTCACTCTCGATTGTGCTCCTGATTGTACATAAAGTTGTGTTTTTGTACAATCAAAAGACACACCTCACTGTTGTTGAATTCATGAGCTGTCCAGCTCTTTAACAGGAATGATCTCTTTTATAGAATATCAAAAAGCATTTCCCCATGACTGGAATAGCCTACACGTCTTGTTAACTGCTGATGTTTTGTTGTGACTGGGTTGAGGTGTAAAAGGAGATAAGACAGGATAAAAGTTCCCAGTAATACCGAATCGCCTCCCCTATTGTCTTGTATCCTTAAATCATGGTAAAGGAAGACTGTTGGCATCAGTTTCTTAGGCAGAACAAC